GATCAGGCGGTTACAACAGGAAGAGAGATCATCATCTCAACTTAGAGCTAAAGAGATCAATTAGAAAAGATCCAACTCAATTCATAAGACGTTTGGCACGTGAGAGAGGAATTTCACCAATGACAGTCCAAAGAGCAATGAAAAAAGACTTGAAAATGAAATCGTTCATGAAACATGTGAGGCAGCTTGTTATTCCAGTACAGGAAGTTAAAATTTTAGAGAGGGCAAAGATCATCTTGAATAAGTTGGAAAATGATCCTGGAATATATATATATATATATATTTGAACTTTATTTCAATCCTTCATAAGCTTCCGACCCTTAGATATTAATTAATGATGAACATGTCATTTTCGTTTATGACCGATTTCCTCACGATACTTCTGTTAATCTTGGGGAGTAAATGTACATTCGTATTGCTCAAATTAGAGTCCAATAGTGTTATAAAAACCTCAGAAAATTCCAGTAAGATATCTTTAATTATTTCTAAGATACAACGCTTCAAAGCTTAATCTAACACTTAGACAATTTTGCTGATACACGATTTTGACAATTTTGCTGTTGTATGTGAGGATGACTTTTAATTCAAGGCATTGGCAGGTTAATATTCTATCAATCTAGGAAGCATCATCATGGAATTCGGCTCCACAAAATTCATGGGAAGAATCTTTTCGAATGGAACATACATCTCAACGATGAAACACGAAGGGAATGAAGTTGGTTCGCTACAACATGTGTGGCATGCCGGGTTTTAGCATAAAAGTGTAAACATTGAACGACAACATTAAAAGAACTATCAATCGAAATTTCATCATTGTTCGTGAAAACATTGGGGAGCTTGGAAGACTTGTACAATTTTCCTGAGTCAACACAAGACAGAGAGGTTGGAAAAATATATATAAGCGTTATTTATAGACATTCTGAAGATGAAGATGATGACTTACTTTAAACCAACTGTGATTTTAAGCAGTTAGCCAGTTAGTCAGTTAAGTGGCATACGTGATACACGCTTGGGCGATCATGTCTCTTTCCATTAATGTTTGGCTAGACAGAAGATTTTCCTGCAGTAAGTTGCCGTTTGTTTCCGCCGTAGACTAGTGGCTATACAAGACTATAGGTTTCAGTCCGTCTTGCTATTCAACCATGATAACGACAGTCAGTTATGGGGCATACGTGATACACGCTTAGGCGATCATGTCTCATTCGATTTATGATTGACTAGACAGAAGATTTTCCCACAGTAGGTGGTATTTCTTTCTGTGGTAGACTGGTTGCCATTCAAGGCTATAGGTATCAGTCCTTCTTAAGGCATGTACAGGTGAAGATTCTAGTACTCGAGGAAGCATCATCATGGAATTCGGCTTTACAATATTCATGGGAAGTATCTTTTCGAAGGGAATGAAGGTGGTTCGCTGCAACAGTGTGGCATGGCGGTTTTAGCATAAAAGTATACACATTGAACAACGAACTATCAATAAAAATCCCATCATTCTACGTGAAAACTTTGAAAACTTACACCATACTCTTGTAACAACACAAAACAGGGAGGTTGGCAAAGAATTGATAAGATTTATTTACAGAGATCCTGATGATAAAGACAATTTTAAAAATAATTTTATTTCACAAGATCAAGAAAACCTTCCTCCGCATTGATGCGGCCTTCAAGCGATTGTACATCTAGTTGTAGTTTCTTGTGCACGTCGGTCGCCGGCTTCATAATGGCGGCCTACAATTAGTCCCTGATATTGCTTGACCGTTGATTGAACTCCTTGTCGACGATGTCCAAAGGTGTAGTTGAACACGTGATTCAATTTGGGATGCTTCTATATTGGAGGTGAAAACTAATTGAGTTATTAGGTTGGTGCAAAAAATGTCGTTTTTGACGTTAAGTTGAACGTCAAAAACGACATTATTTTGCACCAACCTAATACTTTTTTCCACATTTTCTGATAAATCGTTTAGACCTCTTGGCACCATTTGTCGTAAGAATCAAAGAAAATTATTCAGCTAGAAAGACAACAGGTTAAAATCGTTTTGTGTCAGTCCCACTGTCGTCTCAACTGAGCAGTTGTAAGAGGAAAAAGATCATTCAGCCCATCGGACAGACACAGAAATGTGTTGCGCTCTACCCGAAGACCAAGAGATGATATATACCTATGCTTCCACTGATTTGCAATAAGACTTCAATTCGAAATATATCTTTATTAAGATGAGTCTTATAAATATAAATTTCAAATTTACTAACAACAATAACCGGCAATACAGACATGGGAGGCTTAAGAGTTTTTTATAAAGATGCTGAAGAGGAAGGGTGACATTTTTTAAAATAATTTTATTTCACAAGATCACGAAAACATTCCTTCGCATTGATGCGGCCTCCAAGCGATTTTACATGAAGACCAGTAGTTTCTTGTGCACGTTGGACGCCGGCTTCACGATGACAGCCTACAATGAGTCCCTGATATTGCTTGACCGTTGGTTGGACTCCTTGTTGACGATGTCCAAAGGTGTAGCTGTCCATGTGATTCAATTTGGGATGCTTATATATTGGAGATGAAAACATCCAGACCAGTAGTTTCTTGTGCACGTCGGTCGCCGGCTTCACAGTGACGACTTACAGCGAGTCCCTGATATTGTTTGGCCATTGGTTCGATTCCTTGTCGACAATGTCCGAAGGTGTAGACGTCCATGTGATTCAATTTGGGATAAATTGGAGCTAAAAAGTCTCAGTCACAGGGCCAGGTGATCCATACGGACGCAAGCAGAATCCGGATCAGACACGAACGGCCGCTCCCATGATCCAGGGATTGGCCTGCATGTCTGGTGGATTAGTCGCATCTACTCACGACATTGGTTTTATCATTCTAGAAGTGGGAATCTGTTCATGATTTAAATGCTGTTTAAGATCGATCCCTGACAACTTAAAAAGTTTATTTTTAATTACATATTTGAAAGTGCTTACAATTTTGCTGATACACGATTTGAACAATTTTGCTGTTACACCTCGTATGTGAAGCCTCCAACAAAATGTTTCCTTCCCTTTATTTAAAAAGAGCGGGTCAGTTAAGTAGTGAAACAATTACAAATACATTTTGTGATGAAGATAACGGTTAACTCTAGACATAAACAGATTAAGACTAGTAACGAGGGAAGCATCCTCTTGGGAGTCGGTTCCACAAAGCAGCGGTTCATGGGAGGGAGCTGTTCGAATGGAACATTAGCGTACTGCTAAAGTTGCCGTATTTCTCAATATTCATCGACGACATAACCACCGTTTGAAACTAAGCATTCGTAAATAAAAAACAAGTACAGATAACTCTTTAAAGAATCAGGAATCGATTTAATTTGATTTATGTTATGAATAGGGCACTAAAAATTATAAACTCCATCAAAATTATACCCTCCCCTAAAACTATAGCCTCCCCAAAATTATAACCCCCACCAAAATATACCCCACACCGAATTATATCTCCCCCAAATTATACTATTACCCAAATTATACTCTCCTACAAAATTATAACCTCCCCCAAAATTATACCATCCATCAACATGATATCCTGCCCAAAATTATTCCCCATATTATACCTACGTCCAAAATATACTCTCCCACAAAATATACTCTACCCTAAAATCATACCATCCAAAATTATACTAAAAAATATATTATTACCTCCTTCAAAATATATCCCTTCACAATATACCTTCCTTCGAAATTATACCTTCTTCAAAATAACCTCCTTCAAAATATATTCAAAATATATCCAAAATTATACCTCCTTCAAAATAACAAAATATATCCTTCCTTCCAAAATTGTACCTCCTTCACAATATACCTTCATCCAAAATTATACCTCCTTCAAAATATACCTTCCTCCAAAATTATACCTCTTTCAAAATATATCTCCTTCAAAATATATCTCCTTCACAATATGCCTTCCCTCCAAAATTATACCTCCTGCACATTATACCTTCCTCCAAAATTATACCTCCTTCAAAATATACCTTCCTCCAAAATTATACCTCCTTCAAAATATACCTTCCTCCAAAATTATACCTCTTTCAAAATATATCTCCTTCAAAATATATTTCCTTCACAATATGCCTTCCCTCCAAAATTATACCTCCTTCACATTATACCTTCCTCCAAAATTATACCTCCTTCAAAATATACCTTCCTCCAAAATTATACCTCTTTCAAAATATATCACCTTCAAAATATATCTCCTTCACAATATACCTTCCTCCAAAATTATACCTCTTTCAAAATAACATCCTTGAAAATATATCTCCTTCACAATATACCTTCCTCCAAAATTATACCTCTTTCAAAATATAACACCTTCAAAATATGCCTTCCCTCCAAAATTATACCTCCTTCACATTATACCTTCCTCCAAAATTATACCTCCTTCAAAATATAACTTCATCCAAAATTATACCTCCTTCAAAATATACCTTCCTCCAAAATTATACCTCTTTCAAAATATATCTCCTTCAAAATATATCTCCTTCACAATATGCCTTCCCTCCAAAATTATACCTCCTTCAAAATATGCCTTCCCTCCAAAATTATACCTCCTTCACATTATACATTCGTCCAAAATTATACCTCCTTCAAAATATACCTTCATCCAAAATTATACCTCCTTCAAAATATACCTTCCTCCAAAATTATACCTCTTTCAAAATATATCTCCTTCAAAATATATCTCCTTCACAATATGCCTTCCCTCCAAAATTATACCTCCTTCAAAATATGCCTTCCCTCCAAAATTATACCTCCTTCACATTATACCTTCTTCCAAAATTTTACCTCCTTCAAAATAACCTCCTTGAAAATATACCTTCTTCAAAATATACCTTCCTCCAAAATTATACCTCCTTCAAAATATACTTTCCTCCAAAATTATACCTCCTTCAAAATATATCTCCCTCACAAGATGCCTTCCTCCAAAATTATATCTCCTTCAAAATATACCTTCCTCTAAAATTATACCTCCTTCAAAATATACCTCCTTGAAAATATATCTCCTTCACAATATACCTTGAAGGAAGGACGGAGGGAAGGAAAGAAGGAAGGACGGAGGGACGGATAGGAGGAAGGAAGGAATGAAGGAAGGACGGAGGGAAGGAAGGAAGGACGGAATGAAGGAAGGACGAAATGAAGGAAGGAAGGAATGAAGTAAGGACGGAGGGAAGGATGGAAGGGCGGAATGAAGGAAGGACGGAATGAATGAAAGAAGGAATGAAGGAAGGATGGAGGGAAGGATGGAAGGACGGAATGAAGGAAGGACGAAATGAAGGAAGGAAGGAATGAAGGAAGGACGGAGGGAAGGATGGAAGGACGGAATGAAGGAAGGACGGAATGAAGGAAAGAAGGAATGAAGGAAGGACGGAGGGAAGGATGGAAGGGCGGAATGAAGGAAGGACGGAATGAAGGAAAGAAGGAATGAAGGAAGGACGGAGGGAAGGGATGAAGGAAGCACGGAATGAATGAAGGAATGAATGAAGGAAGGACGGGGGGGAGCAAGGAAAGAAGAAATGAAGGAAGGAATGAAGGAAGGAAGGACGGAGGGAAGGAAGGAAGGAATGAAGGAATGAAGGAAAAGGACAGAGGGAAGGATGGAAGGACGGAATGAAGGAAGGACGAAATGAAGAAAGGAAGGAATGAAGGAAGGACGGAGGGAAGGATGGAAGGACGGAATGAAGGAAGGACAGGGGGGAAGGAAGGAAGGAATGAAGGAAGGACGGAGGGTAGGATGGAAGGACGGAATGAAGGAAGGACGAAATGAAGGAAAGAAGGAATGAAGGAAGGATGGAGGGAAGGATGGAAGGACGGAATGAAGGAAGGACGAAATGAAGGAAGGAAGGAATGAAGGAAGGACGGAGGAAGGATGAAGGACGAATGAAGGAAGGACGGAATGAAGGAAAGAAGGAAGAAGGAAGGACGGAGGTAAGGAAAGAAGGACGGAGGGAAGGGATGAAGGAAGCACGGAATGAATGAAGGAATGAATGAAGGAAGGACGGGGGGAGCAAGGAAAGAAGAAATGAAGGAAGGAATGAAGGAAGGAAGGACGGAGGGAAGGAAGGAAGGAATGAAGGAATGAAGGACGGAATGAAGGAAGGGCGGAATGAAGGGAGGGCGGAATGAAGGAAGGAAGGAATGAAGGAAGGACGGAGGGAATGGATGAAGGAAGGACGGAATGAAGGAAGGAATGAATGAAGGAAGGACGGGGGGAAGGAAGGAAGGAATGAAGGAAGGACGGAGGGAAGGAAGGAAGGAATGAAGGAAGGACGGATGGAAGAGAATGAATGATGCAATACAAGGAATGAAGTAGAAAAAAGAACCAAAAGTGAAGGAGAAGGAACGAAAATATAGAAAGAATTAAGGAAAAAGATGAAAGGAAGGAAGCGAGTCAAAGAAATCATCGAAAGGAGAGTGAAATGGAATTTGAAGAAAAAAGAAAGAGATGGAATTCAAGGAAATATAAACAAAAATGAATCCGATAAATAAAAAAAATCATAAGAGAGAAAAGGAAGGAAAACTATTTGGATCACTTGGAACGGTCCCGACAAGATCAAAACGTCTCCAGAGATATGGTTTAAGCGGTCAGTCAGTTGTGTGCCATGCGTGATACACGCTTAGGCGATCATTTAGCTTTCGACATATCCAAAGAAAAAGAAAAAAAGGAATAAAAAGAATAAAAATACGAAAGAAAGAAAGAACAAAGAAAAATAATGTAAATAATAGGAAGTAAAAAAAGACAAATGAAAAGAAAAAAAGAAACAATGAAAAAAAAGAGAAAACAAAGAAATATATTACAGAGAAGGAAGAAAAGCAACAAAAAGAAAGAAAGAATGAAACAAAGAATGAACGAATGAAGAAAAGTATTTCACCGAAGGAAGAATAGAAAAATGTATTTGAAGTTCATTGAACTTTTTATTATAACACAAGATATGCAGATGCCGCTGTGCTTATAGCAGACACGGAAAGAGAGCTACAAAAAACTACAGAGGGTAGCGAATAAAAGCGAGAAGAAAGGATTAAATATCAACTGAAAGAAAACAAAATGCATGGTTGCTAGCAAAAGGGACAACCCAAAATGTGAATTACAAATTGGGGATACCAAAATCAAAAATGTACAAAAATTTAAATATCTGTGATGTATCTTAACAGAGGATGGAAAATGTGACACTGAAAACCGAAGATGCTTTGGGATAACCAAAGATGCCTTCCAAAAACTAAGCAGAGTATTAAGAGACAGGAAAACTTCGTTAGAAACACATGAAAGAGTACTGAACTGTTATGTGATATATGTCCTCCTATATGACAGTGAATGCTGCACAATCGCATCACAGATGAAGAAGAGACTTGAAGCAACAGAAATGTGATTCTACAGAAGGATGATGAGAATAGCAACGACGAGGTTTTAGAGAAAATGCAAACAAAAAGGTAATTTATACCTAAGATCAGGAAGAGACAGAGTATATTTCTTGGGCACATAATGAGGAAAGAAGGCTTGGAAAATCTGATACTGAAAACAGCGAATGACATGCTTGATAAGCTTGAGTAACTGGATGGCAGAAAAGACAAAATTTATTAATAACTTCAAGTGAGATGAAATTCTGGAGAGCCATAATTACCTACATCTCTATCTATAAAAGGCAGGATGTGTGTGTGTGTGTGTGTGTGTGACGAATGCACGGCCGCAATTTTCGACGGACTTGCACCAAAATTTACATGTACAGGCTCCAAGTTAGCGGGAAGGCCAAGACCGACTTTGCATTTCCCAACTCCCATCGATAGTGGAAATAATCGATATTTTCATGCTTCTGCGGCAGTTTTCATGTAGTTTGCGGCCATTTTCTACTGGCCAGAGTAAGAGCCTATAGCTGGCTGCCACGAATAGGCAGGAAGATTCTATTGGCCAGCGTGAGAGCCAACAGCTGACTGACACGAATGTTAACTAACATGCTAGCATGCAAAAAAATCGATAGTTGCATTCGTCACAAGTGGGAAAAATTTAAATCTGCATGGCACTTTACTCCAATTGGCTCATTCGCTTGCTTAAACTCAATGTTGATTCTGATTCCGCAGAACTGGGTTGGGTGTGAAAAAGTATTTGTTGTTAACATTCTTTTTTTCATTCGGTTTTTCCAGTTACGAGTCCTTTTTTAAAGCTGATCATTTTGTGTTCATTTTGTTTAGTTCTTTTTTCGTAACAGATTTAATGTTTAGTATAGAGCTTAGAAAAAATTCGCAGTGTGAGATAGCACGGCAAAGGGCACTCCTTTAAAGGCAAGGAAGTGCAAAAATATTTTAAGTCAGGTGATAGCGATTGCTGTATGAGTCGTACGATTTTTGAATCAAGCACGGGCAACGCCGGGTCATGCTGCTAGTCCTACATAAAAAAAATGAGCTTGAGTAAATGGATGGCAGAAAAAGGTTTAAGAGAAATAACAAAAAGACATAATTTATTAAGAGATACAAGGGACAAGAAGTCGTGGAGAGCCATGATCGCCTACGTCATGAAGGGGCATGACACATAGAAGAAGATGAATCAGCTTGTGTAAATGGATGGCGGAACAGGATTTAGGAGAAAAAATAAAAAGACAAAATTTATTAAGAGCCACAGAGAAAAGGAAATTAGGGAGAGCCATGATTGCCTACATCATGTAGTGACATGGCATACAAAAAAGAGGAATGAGCTTGTGTAAATGGATGGCGGAACAGGGTTTAAGAGAAATAAGAAAATAAAGTTTATTACGAGCAACAAATGATAGGAAATTGTGGAGAGCCATGATCGTCTACGTCATGAAGGGACACGATACGTAGAAGAAGAGACATCAGTAATGTGTAAATGGATGACGGAACAGGGTTTAGAAGAAATAACAAAAAGACAACAAAATTATTAATAGCAACAAAGGACAGGACATTGTGGAGAGCCATGATCACCTACGTCACGACACAAAAGAAGTCTCCTAGCAGAGTTTTGAAATACAAAGTTGTCTTAATCGTCGACCCGTTATCAGAACCCTGTCTGCATTGAGAAGAAAAAAAATGATTTTATACTTTCTCTAAAGTGGAAAACTATGTCTCCGGTCGTAATTTGAACTCAGTTCATTGATGTCACATTCTGAGCTGATAACCTCGACGCTATACTCTTGGGAATTAAAGAGAGGGGATTAGAATGAGCATATGACGGTAGCTGTTACCCTACGCACTTTATTGCAATCGACCGACAAGATATGTTTGCGTATATGTCATTGCATAACTAAAACAAATTTTATAAAGCTTATAAAATTTTGCCCGCGAATCTTCTACCATCTCAGGTCATTATCAAGAACGGTAGTATTATGTTACAAAGAGAAAATGTTTGGATAACTTCATTCTTCTATCTTTTATTTCAGAAGTGTCACAATTTTTATGCAAATGAACATATACCGAATGCAAGTGACATTATGTATAAAAAAAAAAGTATTTTAAAAATATATTCTGGATTTTTAAAAATAATTTCACCCAGAAAGGCAATAAAGCCACTAAGACGCCAGAGACAACTGAGGGTGAAGTGAATCTAAGAAAAAAATACTTTATTACGGTAAGAAGACAATAAAAGAAAAAGAATTCAGAAGGTAGAGGATTGACATTACATTTAAAATTTTGAAGATCAAAGGCAATAAATAGTGGAAGGGGTCCCCGATTGTTAGAGAATATGAGAAAAACTACTATTAATGAGAGAGGACAATTAAAGAATTGGAATTAAGAAGACAGAAGATAACGATTGACATTGCATTTAAATTTTTGATGATCAAAGGCAATAAAGACACTAGGATGCAAGGGGTTACTGAGTGTTACAGAATATAAGAAAAATTGCTATTAATGAGAGAGGACAATAAAAGAACTGAAAATAAGAAGACAGAAGATAACGATTGACATTGCATTTAAATTTTTGAAGATCAAAGGCAATAAAGCCACTGAGACACAAGGGGTTACTGAGTGTTCGAGAATATGAGAAAAAATACTATTAATGAGAGAGGACAATAAAAGAACTGGAATTAAGAAGACAGAAGATAACGATTGACATTGCATTTAAATTTTTGAAGAACAAAGACAATAAAGCCACTAGGATGCAAGGGGTTACTGAGTGTTAGAGAATATGAGAAAAACTACTATTAATGAGAGAGGACAATAAAAGAACTGGAATTAAGAAGACAGAAGATAACGATTCATTTTGCGTTTACGTTTTTGAACATCAGATCTGACTGGGAGTCAAGAAGTTGAAATAGAAGTAAACATGCGAGAAGTGCGAGTGAAGGCTTGTTATCAAAGAACTTACATTTACGTCTAGCCATTTCAACTGTAAAAGGATGAGACCTACCTGCCAATCTAGTTTTGTATTTGAATTCATAAAGTCGATGTACCAAAGAGAGAAGCAATATTTATTTATAAAAATACAAAAAGGTGTCTCAAGTCCAAAAACGGTCGGTAGGAGAAAGATGGTCTTCAATCTGTTTTATCTTAAACTTACCTAGCTGCAGTTACTGAGCCAAACGTACCACAGCATTCCTCACACCAATGAGAAAAGCTGACCAGAACAATTATCATGAAAATATTTATTGAAAGGAATAGTGAAACTATGATACGCTGCAGTGTAAGTGACTGAAGGCAAGAAGCCATGTCAGGATGAATGACATTGCAGATTTATTTAGGCTTTTCTTCTGATCATTTCACCCGCAATCAAAGTAAGGAAATATAGTCACTAAGATGCAAGGGGTTACTGAGTGTGAAAAAATCTAAAAAAAAAAAAAATTAAAAAAAACAAAGCAAAAAACAAAAGGAAACAAAACAGGAATTAAGAACACATAAGATGAAAATATTGCGTTTAAATTTTGGAATATCAAGTTTGACTTGGAAGCCAGAAGCCGGGAAAGATTTATGTTGTATACACATTTTCTTCCGGGTCCCAACAAAAGACCTAAGTTCAGAAATGGCTTCATGGCATTTTCACTGGACACTTAAATCTAAAAGCACACAGATTTTAAATTGATAAAATGCTTCGTAAATTATGAGCTGTACTTGTGAGTATAATGTTTTGCATCTATTTAAGGTATAGACTACAAGCAATCACTTCAGTGTGTCTATCCGTACCTTTTCCAATCAATTCCGAGGGCTCCAACTACAACTATTATTCCCTTTCATTTCTGTTGTATACACATTTCCTTCCGGGTCCCAACCAGAGACCTAAGGTCAGAAATGGCTTCATGACATTTTCCATCGTCCTGGGTCTGGCAATAAACTACATCCGGCAAGCAAGGTGTCTGATCAAGTGGTTTTGAGAAGCGTGGAACCACCTCTTCATTGCTATTGTTCCCAGGTCGACCCTGGCCCGTGGTTGTCGCACATATTTACAAGTCTATTGCTGACACAT